ATTTTTTTTGTACCAGTTTGGTGCCTAACGTTTTATTCCGTAACTCAAAATGGGTCACGCCGTGACGGACCGTTAGTTTTCTCCGTTAAGTGACACATGTCATAATCTGGTAATTTTAAAATTTTCTTTTAAAAAATAAATATTAAAAATAGTATTATATTTATAAAAAAAAACCTTATTTCTTTTAAATTACAAAAAAGCACAAATCCTAACATCGAAGCTTACCCACGGTGGCGGATGGCGACTAGAACGTGACACACCGGTTGGGTTTCGAGCGAACGGTGACGAGCAAGCTAAATATAGTGGCGGTGAGGCGAATGGAGGTCCGAGACGGCCGGAATCGTCCAAAATCCAAGGCGTCGAGCTAGGTTTTTCAGTGAAACTTCAAGGGTTCGATTTCGGTGAACAACGATGACTATCCATGAATTGTTTTTGGGGTTTTGATCATGGCGGCGAGACGCTTCAATTGGTATGGGCGGTGACAAGAACGGACGAGCGACGACAGCGATCGGCGTGAGTTTAGGGGTTGAAATGAAAGTTTTCAAAGTTTTGAGATTATTTTGAATTTAATGTGTTTTTTATTTTTTAAAAATATATAATTATTGGATTTTTCGAAATAATTATGTACAAACACAACCAAAAGATTGCATTAAAATAAAACACTAGCCAAAAGATATAATTTTTGGATTTTCTCATTTTTATTGAATGCTTGCTTACTGTTTGTGTTTTTATTCTCCTTCATGTTATTTATTATGGGTATGTCTTCGTTTTGTTGAAAGTTCTTTCCCTTTTCCCTTTTCCCTTTTCCCTTTTCCCTTTTCCCTTCGTCTTCCTTTGTGTTGTTTATAGAGTATATTGATTTTGATGCTATTTATATTATGGTTTCTAGTTTGTACATAATCATCTTTTGGCTAGTGTTTTATTTTAATGCAATCTTTTGGTTGTGGTTTCTAGTTTGTACATAAGTATTTCGAAAATTTCCAAAAATTATATATTTTTTAAAATAAAAAACACATTAATTTCGAAATAACCTCAAAATTTTGAAAACCTTCATTTCAACCCCTAAACCCACGCCGACCGTCGCCGCTGCTTGTCCATTCTTGTCATCGCCCAGCCCAATCGAAGCGCCTCGCCGCCATGATCAAAACCAAAAACAATTCGTTGATAGTCATCGTCGTTCGTCAGAATCGAGCCCTTGAAGGTTCACCGAAAACCCACCCCGACGCCTCGGATTTTGGACGATTCCGGCCGCCTCAGACCTCCATTCGCCTCACCGCCACTATATTTAGCTTTCTCATCACCGTCCGCTCAAAACCCAACCGGTTGGTCACGTCGTAATCGCCTTACGCCGTCGTGGGTAAACTTTGGTGTTAGGATTTGGGCTTTTTTGTAATTTAAAAGAAACAAGGGTTTTTTATAAATATAATAATATTTTTAATATTTATTTTTAAAAAAAAAATTAAAATTATCAGGGTTTGACACGTGTCACGTAACGGATAAAACTAACGGTCCGTCACGGTGTGACCCATTTTGAGTTTCAGAATGAAACATTAAGCATCAAACTGGAACGAAAAAAACGTTATGCACTAAACTGGAAAAACGGACATACGTTGAACACCGTTTGTATATTAAAGCCTATACTTTACCCTTAAAAATCAAAGATTAAATCATAAAACAACCAAAATATTTAACTAAAACTCAAAATAAAACTATTTTAAAATTTACTTTTTCAATTATTTTGAGATAACTCGAAAGTTCAAAACAAAAATAATTCTTTAAATAATAACATACGGTTATAATTAGAGGTCACTCGACTTAAAAACAATCTTTTTTTTTATTTGAATTGACTTCGAGTTGTAGTTTCATAAACTCGTCTCGAATAGTAACTTGTATAACTTGAAATTTTTATAATAGTTGATTAGTTTTTACGTTTGAGTCGAGTCCCTCGACTATAAGATATATGTACATTACATATGGAAAAAAATTAAGAAACATTTATATATTGTATATGGTTATATAAAATCATTTAAATTAGAATCTAGTAGTATCATAATATTATAAATATTTATAATTAAATTTAAATAGAAACTTGAACAATTCAACTCGACTCTCAAATCAAATTTAAAATATATAAAATAAGACTCATCAATTCAAATAATTCAAAATATTTTTAACTTAACTCGACTCGATCATCCCAAATTATAACTTGTTTTGAAATTTGGAAAGCTTAAAAAGTATCTCTACAACGGCACACGTTATCCTTTCATCTACTAATTTTTCTTTGGTTCCGAAACGAAAATTACAAATAAAAACAAAGCTATGTAAGGGACCATTTCATTTCCTCTTTTAATGTTGTCACCCCTTCCTCGTGAGAAATCACAAAAGGATAAATTATTTTTATCCTTGCTTGTTGAAGGATAAATTATAAAATTCATCGCTCTATTTTTATTATTTTTATTTTGGTCATTAATTTTTTTAAATATGATCATTAATATTTAGACATGAGATTTTTTTAATCACATAAGCACTAACTCAGATTTCAACCATAGTTCACTGTGATGATCACTATTAGACTTCAAATTTTACAGATCAATTTATTTAAATCCTCTAAGTCTTAATGTAATCTCTATTTCACCGAAATCTCAAGGAGGATTTGGTTCACAAACCTTCGTTAAAGAGTTAATTGACCATCTCAATGGTGGGATTGAATACTTGAATCGAGTCGAAGTTGACATCGTCCTTCTTTAACAAAAGCAAGGCGTGGGTCAATTGTCGCCCATAAGTCATCGGGTCGCACGATAGAAGAACACCCAACAAACATATGCACACTAAAATTATAATCAACAACCTTAATCATAGCCATCAATTGTTAACTTGTTGATTAGGAAAGTGCTTCAAGCCCGATTCTCTGGTGGCATATCCCCTACAAAAGCATTATCGGATACGTGTTGGGGATGTTACAGGGATGTCCCGAGCACCTCATTGAAAATCCTTCAATGGCGGATTTTGAAATGCTTTTGTTTTGTTTTTATTTTCTTCTTTATTTTCCTTTTGGTTTTTTCTTTTCTAGTTTCTAATTTATATTTTCTTTTCTTCTTCTTCTTCAAATATTTATTGTCACCTTTTTCAAGTCATTATCGGTTGTTGCGAACGCCAAACGGTAATAGTTATATTTTATGTATTTTTATTTGGGATGTGCTGCATTGAAAATGGAGATTAAGATGGTCATTAATTTGAGTGGGAAATATGTATGACGATTAATCGGTGGTGATGGTGATCGAAAGATAATAACCGGATGATTGTCACGTCCTAAAAATGGGGTTAGAGTTTTGATTATGATAAATTGAGTTTCAATAGGATCTAAAATAGAGATTCGGGATTTATTAGAGGATATTTGGAAATTTGAGATTAAATCATAAAAATGCAAGTCTGGATCAAAAACATGAAGTTTAGAAAATTAGGTGCTAATATGAAATCTCAATGAAGTTTAGTGGCCTGTTAATAGTTTAACCGTCTCTTTATTGAAAGTTTCAATTTCTTCCTTTTTCTATGGTTTCTTGAGTTTAAAGGGAAAAATTGAAGGTATAATTATAAATTAATCTCTAATATTTACATAAATAGTGACAATGGTCCATATTTTCTTTTAACTTTTAATATTCTAATTTTTAGTCAAAAATAATTAATGTTATATGAAAACTATAAGTTAACAAATGTTCAATACTAGTCGTGATTTCTTATATGTACTTAATTAATAATATGTCATATCTTTTAAATTGATGTCGTACAGGGCCGGTCCTGACATTTTAAGGGTCCTAAGCCAGGAGGTGATGACAGGAAGATAAACGGGATCCACATTTAGTTTCCCTTCCAATCATTAAAATGAAGGTCTATTGGTTCACCATATTTTCGAATTTTTTAATAAAAAATGATGTTTAAAAATATTTTTTAATTATTAGGGCCTAATAAATTACAATATTTTCGAGTGTTTGAAATAAAAAAATACATTTAAAAATATTTTTTAATTATTAAACTTAACAATATTTTAAAAAACGAGCCCCTTCAAGCTTGGAGCCCTAGGCGGTCGCACCCTTGGCCTATGCCCAGGGCCGGCCCTGATATCGTAACATGTATCATATTAATTAAAGTAACGATGTAACATGTATTATGTCATTAAAGTGATGATATGACACATGTCAAATCACTAATAAAGTATATATAAAAATATAACGTCATTAATATTAGTTAATTATCGATTTTCATCCAACATGTTTTATTTTAAACATAAATTGAAATAAATAAATAAATATTAAAACAACCATTTAAATAAAAATTTGGAGGCTAATTGTATCGTTATGCCAAAAATTAAATATATATTTTTTTCATTTAATCCTGATTTTGTAGCTTTTAGTATCATCCTAAATCGCGTTATTAGGGTTCTTAAAAAGAACAAACATAAAGAAGGCTTCATCTTCTCTCCTGAAATTTCGAGACAAAACCCTAATCCTTTCTAGTTTTGCACCACCGTCACGCCACACCCGATATTCAAACCTCATCAACGGTGCCCTCTCTGTATATGTTTTTTTTTTTTCAAGTTATTTAATTAAATTTTTAATTTTTTGTATGATTATTTATAGAAGGAATAATAATATTTTAAATCTTAATTTAGTTAATATTGATATTGTTACAGATTTTGAAATGAAGAAAGTTTTCTATTCCACCATCTTAACCTATTATGTCCTTCTCATACAATACAATTTAATATTTGTAAATCATATAATAAATATTTAGGATTTAATATCAGTAAATAGTAAAAGTTTACAAAATAAATTAAATATATAAAATATCTAAAGAATATTTGTACTATTAAAATATCAAATTAGAAGGAAAAAAATACTAGAGAAGAACATGAGTGACACGTAGAAGTCATATGTTATTTGGCGGTTGAAACATGAAGCTGAGACTGTAATGAACGACAGCCTCTCATTTGTTCAAACCAAAAGATAATAACACTGAAAATACCAAAGCAAAAACTACGAGAAAACTCAAGTGATTTCAAAAGGAAATCGGATAAATTACGATAGAAAACAATGAAAGCAATATCACCACCGTCGGCGGCGGCTATAATTATCCACTCCCATCATCACTACCTTAATCACCGCCGTTGCTTTTTATATCCGCCGCCTCTTTCGAACCGTCAGTGCCACCCCTCGGCATCAATCCCCAGACTCCATAATCTTAAGCTGACTTTCGTAACAAAAGCAGCCGATTCAACTTCTCAGCCTTCTGCTGCAAAAACCATTGTCAGTGATGATGGGTTCTCATTTTATAAGGTAATTAATCTATTATTCATGCTTTTCCATTGACATTCAACACTTTTAGTACCAAACTTAGAACCTTTATGTTAAAAATTTATACGAAATTCTAGGCCTACCTTGAAGACATCTTGATATTGTCTAGTTAGCCTCTTTTGTGAAATTCACTTAATTCTGATATAATGACAGATCAGAGCATTTGGTTTGTTGAATCATTAGCTGCTAAGCACTATTAGATTTATTAGCTATCAGATAATACCTGTGGATCAGTGAAACATACAAAAATGACAGTCATGAGAGCTAAAATGATTATTAGTATATCATTGTGTCTTGCCTATAAATGATGGGCGCCTTCGCCCTGTGCCTTGCTCCTAGGCTCGAGGGACTTCTTACGCCTCAGTGCGCCTTTTAAAATTAAGGTGAAAAGTAAAAAGCTTGGAATGCACCATCAAACTGCTGAAAGTAATATAATGAATCAGGATTTATAGTTTCTTTTCAGTTGAATCTCTTCATTGAATGATGATGGGCCACAGTTGATGTGATCAGGGCATCGGGTCTTACTTTAATAATGAATATGATGATTATTGATAATTGTTTATATTCTGATGAATATGATTATTGATAATTGTTCATTTGCAGCTTTCATTTGGTGTTATTGGACTCGGTGTTGGATTTTCTCTCCTCTCGTGAGCTCTTCACCTGTTGGCATTCCCTTCTTTCTCTTTAGTTTATCTTGGTTTATCCCTTGTTAAATGTTGAACATACAGGTATGGTTTTGGGGCATATTTTAACATTCTCCCGGGATCCGAATGGTCTGCATTAATGCTGACTTATGGCTTCCCTCTTGCGATAATCGGGATGGCCCTCAAGGTAAAGGTTTTCTTCCTTGGAATCGGATTGAATTGGATATTTGAAACCATTTTGTCTCATATTTCATCATAATCTCATTTGGAAGATGAAATTTCTTGTTAATTACACCTTCCTTATGGCATCGAATTCATATTAAAGACCCTAGTAGTCTAAATAGATTTATTGTCAATTATGGCAAACTCCGATGTTGTTCCTACCCTTCATTTTTTTTGGAGTCTTATTTGACACAAATCCGGATACGATGGGGCTATGATATTCCAATGACCCTCCAAATACGTCTAAAAAACACTAAAATTACCCATAGCGGATACATGATATTGAGCAGTTAGTTTCATAAGTTATGGTTGTTGGTTGTATTTCAGTATGCAGAACTCAAACCGGTGCCATGCGTGACCTATTCGGATGCTCAAATGTTAAGGGAAACCTGTGCCACTCCTATCCTTAAGCAGGTACTTTCGGACTCTGGCAATGCCAACTTGTTTACAAAGTCGTTAAGATAATCAACATGAGACTCTTCAATGAAACCCATGTCCGATACTCACACTTGAATCCAAGTAATGCAGTTTACATATGTCCAATGGCTAAATTTGGTGAAATTAATTTTCTTCATATTCCAACGTGAATTTGGCAATATCACTGGACGACATCCGTGCTTATTGTACTCTCTAATTTTGCGGATCACATCAAAAAAATGAATTTCTTTAGCTTTCATTAGGTAAGGAATGATGTTACAAGATTCCGTTACGGAGATGAACAGCATTTGGATGAGGCCTTGAAGCGGATTTTCCAGTTTGGTTTGGTATGTCTTATGTCCCTCCGACTCTTTAAATTTATTTAAGTTTTTGTTTTCACCCTTTCCTGATAAATGAGTATGGAGATAAGATCTCTAAAGGAAATATCAGACCATATCCATGTCGATCACATTTCCTAGCAGACACTCACACTTGAGTTCAAACAACACACGACTTGTCTTTTGATTTGTAAAACTATCACAAAAATTATAGTACATATAGGGGAGAATTGCACCTAATTTATGTGTTGCAAATTTTCTTACATCCAAATTTAAGTTTTTGATGTTAGTTCTTTTTCTGTATCAACTCTCAGGGCGGAGGAATTCCTCGGAGAAATGCACCTATTCTTCAAATGATCCGGGAAGAAGTAAGTTTTCCGAACTTAAATTTAATCTCTGGCATGAATATTTCTTGTCGCCTACTGTATATATGGAAAATATTATTGCTTTGTCATTCCCTACTTCGGTGAACATGACTTGATTTACCAAGAATAATTCGGCACTATGTTGCTGTAATTCTTCATTTTGCTTGAAGTATATACGTTCGACAATACGAGTATAGGAATAAGACTCTTAAGAACCATCCAAATACATGATTTTTTTTTCAAAAAAAAAAATTAAACATACTCTCGTGCAGGACTCATAAAAATCCAACACTTACACCCCAGTTCGAGTAACATAGTTTTAGAATCTTTTCATTTCCAGATTGATTTTTGATTCTTTGGTCTTATACATATTTGTTACCATGTCTTAGGTCACAGAAGATGGTAAATATTGTTTAGTCTTGGTGTTTGAGGCTAAAGCTTTGGAGTTGTCGGATTTTGAAAAGAGACAGGTAAACTATCAAGCTATGCTTTTCAATTCTTCATTTTTCTTAAAGCATCCATGTTCGGTGCTCGTATTAAAAACATATTCAGACATGGGTGTAGAGATCCAAATAAGTGGAAAAACTTGAAAAAAATCGAACATATTCGTGTCGAACATATACCCATATTTGAAAATCATATCCAAGTCTAAGTAACATAGGTAGTTAAATTTGATTAATAATATAATTATTAAAACCAAAATATATTTATTTAAATATTAAATTGAAACCAATGAGTTGTCATTTGTGAGTTTCTCTGTGTTGTTAATTTTACAACATATTATTCTTTAATTTCTTAATTTTGATAACATGGCTTACTGATCTTTAACTAAAATGATGGCTTCTTAGGCAAAATTCGCTTCCTTCTTTGGACCAGGCATCTCAGCTGAAGTTGGTGAGTTTTCACTTTTCTACTCCATATATATATATATATATATATATAATGTTTTAAAAAATACTTGTGTGTTTGTGTATATATACACATATAATATCTTATATGACAAATATTTTAACAATAAAACAATTGGGTTTAACGGTATATTATATTTTACTAATCATGTATATAAATTTTGAATTGAATTGATTTTTTATATTAATCGAGCATATTATATTTATCAATATATATATAACATATAATAGGATTAGGATTTACTTACGCAATATAAAACCCTTTAGTTTAAAACAGATTTAAGAACATTGGATGAGTGAAAATAGATGACTGAGATTGACTCATTATTTTTTTTCCAGTGAATATCGTTTCATTTCATACTATTAATCTAAACTATCTATCTTCACTTATCCAACGATCTTAAATCTGTGTAAAACTGAAAAAGTTTTACATTGTGTAACAGGATACTATCCCTATATAATATATCAAGTTATATACTCATATATGTAAAGATTTTTATTTTTATATTAATCGCGTTTGTATAGTAATAAAATGTTAAAATAATCATTGAAGAAATAGTGAATAATGTTGTGTAAAACTATTTTAGTTATATGTATAATTTTTTTTTCTATGGCTCAGGGAAGGGAGAGAATAATGTATATGAAGTTCGACTTATCTCAAATTCCACTTCAAATGCACCAACTTCATGAATTGGGCAATATCTGATCTCCGTTTCTTCTTATTTTTCGGTACTCGTAAGTTTTGTATCATATGTATATACTAATTTGCCGAATACGGTTTATAGTAACATTAAAATTTAAAGGAAAAAGTGTACAACAATTGACTTTTTATTGTCAGCTATAATTAATAATTAAATTTATCTTTCCTATGGCTGCTCAAATGCAAATTGGTTAGGAAGAACATTTGAGACGTTTTTTCTTTAAATAATTATGTTCAGCATATTTTTTTTATAACCACCTGTTTTTAATTTATTAATTATTTTATTCAAATCGGGTATTGCAAAGGTACATTATGAGAATATTCTCTTAATCCATTTTGTTTCATTCACAATCAAGATTTGAAACTTTGACTTTACTTAAAAATTTTAGTATCTCATATTACTAGATCAGTTGATTGTTGGTCAGCATGAGTCTTTAAACATACTATCCCAAAATATTTGTTTATTGTATGGCTAGAATTCTTATTTGCAGGGACGGAGTTAGGGAGGGATTAAGTTTTTTTTTTACAATTAAAGAACAAGGTTCAATGAAGTATTTAAATATGAAAATTATGAATAAAATATTATTATTATATCAAAAACTATTTTGGAGCAACGGCACCTCCCACCTTCTTAATAGCTTCGTCCTTCGTGTAGAAGAACCATATGTTTTGTGAATGTTGTTATTCCAGGCAATGATGTGATACTATCAAATGTGAAATGTTTAATTCAACATTGCAAAGAGTGAGAAAGTTACTTTCTTGAGTTGCTCGGAATGTAAACATTTATTTTCTTTGGGAAAAAAGAAATAGGAGACTGCATGATATAAGTATAGTTTTATTCAATTACGATATATATTGAGATATAAATGATTTGAATGACACAAATCAAGTTATCTTAGTAGTTAAATGGATGATTGTTGTTCATAGAGGTCTCAAGTTTGAATATTAATTTTTGCAGAGGTCTTTAAATGATTACTGTCAAATGGTATAAATATTATATTTGAATAGTTAGGTGATTATAAAGTTATATCTTTTTAAAACTTTCTTAATCAATTGATAATGCATATATACTCTACAGACACAGCTGTTTGGATCTCTAGGAAGAAACATTTTCTTTTGTGAAATATTTTAGTTTTACACATTTAAAATTGTTGGATAAATAAAAATAGGTAGCTAAAATTAACAGTATGAAATAAGAATATATTCACTGAAAAATATCAATGGATTAAAATAAATATTTTAATATGTATACAATTTAAATTTGTCTAAAATATTATCCTTTCAATATATATTTAATATTTAATTGATTTTATATCAAATGAAAAAAATGTTTTTAATTTATTTAAAATAAAATATACATAATTTATGTAAATATATATAAGATACAAAATTTAAATTATTAAAATATTAATCATACAACAAGTTACAAAAACTTATAAGCTACTTTAATTTTATAATAGAAGTAAATCCCTACTCATAAATATATATTTACCATCTGTAGCACCCTTTAAGATGAGGAAAACATATATTTTTCCTGGTAAATTTGTGTTTGTTTTTCTGCTTTTTTCTCACCCATGATAAGCAATTGTGGTTCGTTTCTTCATCTTTTTCTCTCATTGGCATATTGTCTTCTTCTTTATCTATGTTTTCTTCTTCCTCCTCTTTTGTTTCCATCACTTCAACCTGCAAAATCCATTATATCAATCAATTTATGTGTTCATCTATGCATTTTACTTTTCTAATAGTGATAAGTAAAAAAAAACAATCTAATTGCTTTGCTCTATTTTTATTTAGATGTAAGTATAATTATTGGATATGAGAATGCATTTGATAAAAATATAATCTTTTTAAATGTATTTTGAGGATTTTTTATAATATCGCATGTTTAAATATACTTTTTTTTAGCAAAAATACATGTTATTTTTTTGACAAATCTTAATTCTAATCCTTCTAGAGAGGGGAGGGGAGGGGAGGGGAGGGGAGGGGAAGGAAGGACTCTAAGAAAGGAAGGGAAATACTTTTAATGGATTTAAAACCCATGATTTAAGGGAATAAGAGATAATAAAGATGAACAACTTAGTCAACCAACCAAATGTGATTGTTCAAATATGTGTAAAACTTAAAACAAAACCAAAATACATGAGAACATAAATTTTGAAGAAAAAGAAAACTATACTTTATATTGACGTATTGTAAGAATCAAATTGGAACTTCTCATATGGTAGAAGTTATTCCAAACATCTAATATGAGTATATACATTTTTCAATATTTTATTTTTAAAAAAATTATGTATTCATAATTTAAAATATTTTACAATAGGATAAACTACATGTTAGGTATCCTAACTATTACTTTTGTTCCGTTTCGATCACCCAATTATTTTTTTTTCAAAAGTATATCTAACGTTACGTTTTGTTTCATTTTGGTTACATGCTGTTGAAAAAGTAACAGAACTACTGATGTGATATATATTTTTTAAAATTCAATGATGACATGACATTATCTTATGGCTATATGTCAACGACACAGTTAATTTTTTTAATTGTGAGTGACCAAAATAAAACTAAAACTTAACATTAAATATGATTTTGAAACAAAAAATAGTTAGGTGACCCAAACAGAATAAAAGTGATAGTTGGAGTACTAAACCTGTAGTTTACCCTTTAAAATATTTATATATTATATTTTTATTCTTTTTTATGCCATATCTTATTGGTAATGGTTTTTTTAACCAATTATTGGTAACGTTTAAGTTCAATTATTGGTACAGGAAAAGAGACTAGCTAGCGGCATAACATCTAAGACTTATGGGGACTTATCATCATTTATGTTCCATAAATGCCATACCAATTAGGAAGGACACAGCTCAATTACTTCTGCAAGAAAATAGGCTAGAAGGGGCATAACATCTTAGAATCAGTAAGCTTAAGTACAATTCATAACAATTTAAATAATCAAATCGAATTCACTCAATTTGAATGAATTAACTATTAATTCTTTAAAAATTAAATTAAATATTATAATTAATCAAATAAAATTTCATCAATTTTGATTAATTTAATTTATAAAATATTTTAAAGTTAATATTATTAATATAAAACGAAACATTTTTACATTAAAAATTAAGAAAAATAAATTTAATTCAAAAGATTTACATTGATTTAAGATCATTAGATAAATGTAAATGGATAGCAAAGATTTTTATTTTATTTTTCCGATAAAACTCTTCTTAATTTTTCAACTTTTAATCTTAATTATCAATTTATGCTCATTTAATGATCTTAAATAAGAATAAAATTAAAAAATATATACCACGTAACTAGATTCTACCTCATTATATTTTATAATTTATAAAATTAAATTTGAACCAAACCAAGTATATACGTTAGAATAAACTCATCAAGTGGCTCCATTAGTTAAATGAAGTATCATTCTCCCTAGAGGTCTTAAGTTCGAGCAGATACGTCTGCAAAGAGAAAGATTCTGAACAAATACTATCTTATAATCACCTCATATTATTAAAAATATATATATACATTAGAATGGTTAAACTTATTATAAATCTTTGGATTATATCTAAAAGTTTATTTTACTCTCTATTATAAAAAAAGTACATTGTAGTGTTTTATTATACCTAAAAATTTATTATAATCTATTTACTGTAAAAATAATATTTTAATCCTTAGACATCTGAGACAGTCAATATCTTGATCCAAAATTTTAAAAATTATAGTTAGTTGACTTAGATATTTTATTTCAAATACCCTTTTTAAGTCTTTGTAAATTTTGAAATTGAGTAAATCAAACCTCTTGATAGAGAGAACAATTTATTATATATATATTTTGAAAGTGTGTAAAAAAACAACAATTTATGATGTTGACCTTTTTTATCAATATATAACACACATTCGATTGTGATTGGATGATTATTTTAAATAAAAAAAAAGTTATAATTCTATATTGTTTTTTATAATTTGAATTTTTAAAATATCAAGATTAAAATATTTATTTTTATAATATAAATATTAAAATAAATTTTTAAATATAATACGTAACTATTAATTGATTATAACGTAATTTTAATAATGAAATGACCATCCAGCTCAGTTTGGTAGAGCACAAGGTTCTTAATATTGAGGTCGTGGGATAGAGTCCCATGAAGGGCATTTCATAATTCGGATGTCTCCTACAGAAGGTGCTCACAACCTAATATTGGGGGAAGCATACTATCTTACCTCCCTTTATCCCATTATATAATAGAACAAGGGACATCCATTTTTTTTGTAATTTTAATAATGTATTTTTTTCAGCCGCTAAGCTTATGTCCCCACCGAGGATAGCGGACCAATTAAACAGTGCCCAGTGAGGAAGGGCACAGTGTAATCATATCTCACTCTAGCTGTCTTATCTTTGTCTTGAAAATCTAAGCCACGCAACATGCTATATGACTAAGCAAGCAGCTTCATCAACAACATTTTTCAACTTTGATGCACTGGATTCACAGCTTGATAATGAAAGTGACTGACCATTTATATTATAAAATCAATTTTACTATATATAATTATAAGATTCATGACATCCCTAGAGGATCACCACAATTCAACTATTAGAAGCAAAATGACATGCATTCATATGAACAGAAGAGAGGTTGGATGTGTAGTATCCCTTAAAAAATTTAAATTATCATATATTTTAAGATTTTTTTTCATATTGATAGTTTAATTTTGTATTCTTAAAATTTTATAATTTTACACTCTTAAATTTCTAATATAAAATTTTTTAAGTTCATATTTTATATAATAAAATCATGCATCTCTCCATGCATAAACACTAAGAAAATCTACAAGCGAACAGTTAATGATGATCCCCCAACGATACATCATTCCCAGCAGCCGGATTTAAAGTTTGATAGCTTTTCCGAGCACTGGCATTTTTCGTTACTAGAATGAACATCAAGATTTACTGATGCTTGTCCATGATATAAGCTGAACATCCTCTAGTGATAGGTTAAATCAAGTTTCCTTAAGTACTGTTTTTATGGTTGAGTTCCTTAGGTAGCAAGTAAGTTTAATGAAATTCGAGATTTAGTTTGATTAGTTCATGCAGTCATCTAACAACCAAGGACCCGATTAACTCCATTCCATATTCTCGAACTAAGGCCTTCCTTGTATCGTAAAAAACAGCAAGTTTAACAACATAAGACATGAAAGAACATACCTGTTCATCGGATTTTGTTTTTGTGTTAGAGACTGGGGAATCACCATTTTCAGTTTCTGATCTGTTCAATGCTCTCTCTACAATTGGTGGGGTTGAAACCGAGCTAGGACTACCAGAACTGGGATCGTGTGGAGTACTTTGAGTTCCAGCCTCTCTAGTCAATCCCTCAGCTGTCGTTTCTGAAACAGATGGTTATCTACAACTTCAAACCAATCTTAACTCAAGCAATTTCACCAGTTCAACTTAGGGCCGAGCAAAATGATGAGAAAAACGAAAACCGATTGGAAAATTAATGTTTAATTTGATTTTATTAAATTCAAATCTTTGGATTCAGATAGTACTTCAATGTGTTCCATTAAGATGGGTTTTTAATTCACAAGTTAAAAACAGTTATTATTCAAACTGAATATTTAAAAAAAAAAATCAAAATAAGTGCAATTAGTTCGGTTAATTTTGATATTAAGAAACCTGGAATAGGGAAGTGAGCAATGTCTTCCTGAACTGTTCTTGACGGGTAAACCAGAGGAGCAGAAACGGTGATTTTTTTTGTTAATCTGCGAAATGATCTTCCACTCAGTGTTTTTGCAGAAAAACATTCCATTGGAAACTCTCCCGAAAGAGGATTGCAAATGTACTTCTCAGCTTCATTCCACTTGGAGTTTAAAGCAAACCCTTCGGGTGAGCATTCCAAGCTATTATACAATGACCGAGCCTGTAATGCTGAATCATAAGAAAACCAATTACGTTGGTTCTTAAATCTACGGTTCTCAATTCGAGTGTAAATCGAGTACGAGAATGTAAGTTCTGAATGTAATTGGAGGACTCTTAGATTATCAAATCTTTATAGGCATATCCGAATATGGATCTGAGAGTTTAACTATGTTAATTGAATTTTCATGTAAATTGAAATTATTCTTTATGCATATTCGAATATGTTCCATACATTATGTTTCTCTACAAAAAAATTGAAGAATGATGATTTAGAAGTTACCTTTAAGAGCTGTAGTGAATGAATAAGTTGAAGGATCGAACCCATCTGTAAAAGTGACGCCAAAATTTTTAGAATAAACACCAAATTCCAAAATGATGCGAAAGTTTCAGATTAAAATTCAAAACCGAATCTCTCCGCGAAAAATGAGCAAGAGAGATACCTTTGAATGAACATCCCGGAGACGACGTAGCGCTGGAAATGGTGAAGTTGGATCGGAATGAGCTTGTAATTTCTCTAGAATTTCTGAGATAGGAACCTGAATATCTTCTCGAAACAGTGTTTTCGGGCGGATTCGATCCTTAAGATCCCACTCTTTCAAACTAAACTCTGATTGTTCATCATTTCGCCGCGAAGAAAATTGTTCCAAGGCGGACGCCATGAATGGAGCTACAATTTGAACAGTAAGGTTTTCAAATTTCAAAATCCGCGTGGAATTTAAAGCCGGGCCACCATGGATAGTAAAGTATCAGAAATCCGAAATTATCTTGTTTTCGATTTCCTTTAAGCATTGTTCGGGTTTTAATCCTAAATCTATTATTCAGAGCAAATTTAAATTCAAATTAATTCTTGAATATTTGAATTCACTCTCATTTTCCGAGGGAAATCTCCAACCTTTCTTGGAAAAGTTTTTTATGATAATCGATCCTTAACAAATCAACTTTTATGTACTTATGTTCTAATTATCGTATCCTTATTTTCTCTCTCTCCATATTTTAACATACTAAAATTATTATTCTCCGTGAATCCAGAGCAAATATAATTCAATATTAATAACATTTGAAAATATTTGCATCCAATTTTTATTTACGAATATAATTTTTATATTTATTTATTAAAAATAAAATAATTTGGTTCATGCAATATAAAATTATCTTTGAGAATAACTTGCTACATAATGTAACATTATTGTCATATTATTAAGGCCCCATTTGGTGGAGCTTTTAAAAGAGCTTTTGGTTCTAAAATCACTTATTGGCAGTCGAAGCAACGCCAACACGTATCTTTTGAAATGCGTTTAAAATTGGGTTTTAACCCAACTAAGAAAATTGAATATTTTAACAGTTGCGGTGAAATCTCGTTTAGAATAAAAACAAATTTACCTTCATGCTTGTTATTGTAATATTAATTTTTGCTTTAGTACGTTTATGCCTTTTCATCCCTTCTTTTACCTTTTTTTGTCCGTTTTCTGTCATTAGACAAATTTTAATTTAATTATTTTTAAAAATTATTAATTTCTTAATTTAAAATATTTTATTGGTTTTATAAAAAATTAAGCTGATATTAGTATTTGTATTGTAATATTAAAAAATTGTTAGTAATTTTAACATTAGTTAAGTTAATTTATTATATTATTTCTGAAATGAACATTTTATCTTCTCAAATGTACTTTTTGACAACAAACACTAAAATTTTAAACTCAATTTCTCAAATCACTTTTAAAAAACTTTTTTCACAGCATTTTTCTGCAACAATTTTCAAAAGCACTGTCAAACTAGTTCTTAGAATATATTACCTGTGTAGTTTATTTGGTAGGCACAATTTAATTGTGGAAATATAACATTATTTGAGGAATAGGGTTTGCAATTTGTTGTGCTACATACCAATTGGTGGCCAATGATGCATGTGAATGTGCATGTGGTTGTCATCCATCATGAAGTAGAAGAAGAAGAAGAAAAACTAAAAGGATGAATAGGTGGCGAAGTTTTTCTTTGTAACGTAGGTTTCACTGAAAGGGAGAGTTGTCTCTGTCACTAGTTTCTTTTCGTCTTTGAAAATGCCAGACTATACAAATATCTTTCCAAAAATGTTATATAACCACATGTATATGTTGGATCAATTCATCTTTAACCTCAACCTCATCATCCCTGACACTACTTGGAATCTTCATCATTCTCATTCTGGTTGCAACTTGCAATACACTAATGTGTTTGCATCCGGGAAAAAAAAGCCCGAATTTGATTTGAAAAATGAAGAATTTCACTCTTTGGAAAATTATATAATTGTAAAATAACTTCAAATTTTAATGCTCAGATGTTGACACAGTGACTAACCTTCAAAGAAAGTAGTACAACAATGAAGTTTCATAAAGGATCATACACACTAGCCAGCTGCCATCTTTTGTCACCTCAGCTTGTCAACAACATAAGGTGTAATTAATTGCATGGTGGCAAAGATGAAATGGACTGATGCAACGACCAAAGCTTCAGTTGAGGCTCTGATGTAATGGTGTCTACAGTAGTTATGAAGATTTGAACCCCCCTCAGCATCCGAATCGATATGTATGTTAAAAAAGCGTAATTATAGCACAATAAAGCAAAAAAAAAACGATTGGTAACCATGGGAATTGTAACAAAAAAGTGTAAATTGCATCTTCAACCACAATCAAATCCCTCAATTCTATACGTGCCATAAGCTTCTCGCTATCTAGAGTTTATAGAAATCTTTCAGTTTCAGCCATTTAATGGTATAAGACTCGACCAGTTTGAACCTAATTGGTTCTTGAAACCCAACCATAATTCCAACTTTCAACTTATGTTACTTGGACTCAAGTGTGAATATCCTATGCAGATGTGTCCAACATGGGAATATTCAATTCTTTTTAAGTTTTTCAATATACCGCAGGTCTATTATCCTAATCGGAAAATACGTGGACACGAGCTCCAAACAGGTTACTTCAAGAGAAATAAAGAATCAAAGAAGCATAGCTTTCAATCATAGCCACAAAGGCCTCTCTTTCCACCCAAACCTACCATAAATACCAAGTAGGAACACAATCATAATCTGTCTGGCCTACATAATTTCATGTTAAATTACCCAATTTTATTTTGATAAACTAAACTTCTTTTATTATTATACATACCTTCAAGAGGCCAATGTCCTCGAAGTCTTATGCACCATTAGATACAGACAAGTGCAGATCTTGACTTTAGAATCCTTTGTTCTCTAGATGTGAGATGGCCAACTGAAATTCAGGGAATGGAAATCACAGAACCGATTAATAACAGTTAGAAAAAGAATTCAAACGTACTCACTAAAAACACACGTCCGGGACAAATCGAGGGTATATAATCACCAAAACATAACTGGAACACATATGACCTACAGAAAGATTCAATGAAATCAGTAAAAGGGCATCCAGATTATCTTGTACCAAAGAAAGCATGACACTCACCGCACAAAAGATATGGTTGCCAAACCACTTCAGGAGACCGTATACGCATACAAGCTTCCTGTTCAGTTAGATAGATGAACTCAAGAACTTTGGAAATCACAAAACTGAATGTTGCAAAGAGCAAAAACATATGTTCATGCAAAACTTGGGTCCAAGTGAAAAAGGAAAGGGGGACAGGGTGGGGCATATATGAGTAAATCATAACTGTATCTGTAATTATGCTCATATGCAGTCACACATAGAGGAAGAGGTATTAGTGGATGAATGCAAAAATTGGGGTCCTAAGCCTTTTTGTTTTTTCAACTACTTGCTTGAGGAAGAGGGGTTCTCTGGGATGGTTGAAAATTCTTTCTTAAGTTTGAGGATGGATAACGGTTGTAGGGGGCCGCTCTCACTTCTTAAAGGAACTAAATTAGCTATTAGGAATTGGTCAGGTTCTAATCACAGGGGAATTTCAAAAGATATCTCAGATTTGGAATCCAAAATTAACAGCATCGAGCTAAAGGTTCAGAATGGAGGGATTCTAGGCAAGAAGGGAGGAGCTTTGTGCTTCGAGAAAGGAGCTGTGGCACTTGCATAAGAAGGAGGAGAGTATTTGGTTACAGAAGTCAAGAGTGAAGTGAATATTGAGGGAGATAGAAACACAAATTTTTTCATTCATGTGCATTGATAGGAAAAAATTAATCAAATTTCAGCTTTGAAGGTGGCTGGTGATGTTATTACAGACCCGATGCAGTTGAGAAGCTGTATTTCAGATTATTTCAAGGCTTATTACAATGAAAAAATAGCTTTAGAGGTGGATGATATAAATCTTAATTTTGCTAAGTTGAATCTTGTCCAAAAGATGGGTCTTGAGAGGAATTTCTCTGAACAGGAAGTGTGGGAGGCAGTTTTTCATTGGATAGTTCCAAATCTCTAGGTCCGGATGGTTTTACGATGGGTTTTTTACAAGAAATTCTGGCCAAATTTGAAGGATAAAATTATGAAATTCTTTGACGATTTTTACAATGGCAGGAATTGGGAGCATGAGGTCAATCATGCTTTTATAACTTTGATCCCTAAGACTCGTAATCCAGAAGGTATTGAAGATTACAGACCAATAAGCCTAGTCGGATCCTGTATAAAATATTTCCAAAGTTTTATCTAGAAGGCTTGTTTATGTTATTAAAGATATTGTAAGCTCAACAGTTCGCCTTTATTCCTGGAAGGCAACTTATGAATGTGCTTTTTTTGCTAATGAAGCTTGATTTTTGGAGAAAAAAGGGGAGGAAAGGGGTTGTTTTTAAGGTTGATTTTCGTAGAGCTTATGATTCGGTAGAATGGCCGATTTTATTGAGGTTATTGAAAGTCATGGGATTTGGAGATAAGTGGATTTCATGGATCGAACGATGCATCATATGCTTCTATCTCAGTCTTCTAAATGGTTCTCCTACTGAAGAATTTCAATGGGCAAAGGCTTAAGGCAGGGCTGCAGTTTGTCTCCCTTGTTGTTCAATATAGTAGGGGAGTTACTGAATTTAATGCTGATTAAGGCTGCGAATCGTGGGTTGTTCGAAGGGTTTAGCATTGGTGGGGTTGAAAATTCCTTCCCTGACTCATTTGCATTTGCAGATGATTTAATTAGGTTCTGCAGGGATTCCCCTATGCAGATCCTGAACTTCGGAGAGTGTTGAGGATTTTTAGTCTTATGTCAGGGTTGAACATTAATCTTTCCAAGAGCAAGTTGTATGGTGTTAATTAGAAGCTGTTACTTTAAATGTGTGGGCTTCTGATGCAGGTTGTGGATGGGTGTTTTCCTATGACTTACCTTGGTTTACCGATTGGTTCAACCAAAAATTCAGACCTGTTGTGGGAACCAGTAATCCAGAACTTTAATTCCAAGTTAGTAGGATGGAAAGTTGCAACACTTTCCATGGCTGGAAGACTAGTCTTGGTGAAGGCAGTGCTATCTTCGTTGCCGATTTTCTTCCTATCTCTTTTCAGAATTCCTCCTAAGGTTAATCAAAAGCTGAACTCTTTAATGGCTAAATTTTTATGGGGGAAAGGTCAGGAAAGCGGCGTATTCATTGGGTTAATTGGGTATGGTGTGTCACCCTATTGAGAAGGGTGGTTTGGGTGTTTTAGATTTGAGTATGATCAATAGAGTGCTACTCGGGAAATGGATTTGGAAGTTTGCAAATGAGAAAGATTCACATTGGAAGGATATGATTTGTTGTAAACATAATGTTGAAACATTTTTATATTTCGATATAACAAATTAAGTTAAATGGATTTTAAGATTTTCCAAATGATTTTCTAAGTATATTCGATATAACTATTCGAATATCAAAACATTACTCCAAATATTTCAAAAATCATTTTAATCCTTACTTAAGTGTAAATTAAGTTTTAATCATAAAACATTTCAAATAATTTTACAAAGTATTTCGAACCAATTCAAAGCCAAAAATTCCAGATTGCTCATAGGGAACCGATTCCCCCCATAGGAGGAACCGATTCCCCCCTGAATGGTTTGGTCCCGAGATTTCCAGAATGCTCGGAGGGAACCGATTCCCCCCATAGGAGGAACTGATTCCCCCCTAAACAGTTTTTCTCCGAGAATTCCAGTATGCTCGGAGGGAACCGATTCCCCCCAAGGGGGTACCGATTCCCCCCTTGTACAACGGTCGAAATATTTGAATTTTACACTTAGGGAACCGATTCCCTATGAGGGGGAACCGATTCCCCCCACTCCAAGCTGTTTTATTAAATTTTCACACTAAAGGCTATAATATCTTCTCTAATCATCCCCAACGTTCAGAAGTGATCCAAGGTGTATTTAAGCAAGCTTAGAAGCCATTGATAAATAACAAGAAACATCAAGCAACTAGAATCAAGAGAGAATCAAAGAGAAGGCATCAAACCTCAAGTTTGAGCATTCAAGCCTATTTTCATTCATATTCATTTTGCTTTCAATAACACTTTTGTGCTCAATTGTATTCATCTTTGAGTGTTCTTTTCTTTGTTCTAGAATTGTGCAAACATCTTACCTTGTGAGGTTTTCTTGTAAGTTTGCAAATTTGTAATCTTCTCTTTGAGAAAAGAGTGTTCTCAAGAGTTGGGTATACTCTTGAGGGAATTGTAAGGTTATCTCTTTGGCCTCAAAGAAAGAACAAATTAGTGAATTTGTTGGAAAATCCTTAGTGTGGATAGCTAAGGTAGTGGACGTAGAATTTGTTTGAGAAAGTCGAACCACTGTAAATCGTGTGCAATTACTTTCAATTTTCTGCAAAAGCTTCCACAAAATTTTATTGCCAATTCACCCCCTCTTGGCCAATTTCGTCATTCGATTAACTCAACAATTGGCATCAGAGCCTAACTCATTTGAAGGTTTTTATCGCCTCTTGAGTCGATTCGGGAAGAGTTATATCGATTATTAAAGTCATCAATGGCCTCCGCTTCAAACTTCGACTCCGGTCTCGATTCGATGCCCGTCAACAAGCCTCCTTTCTTCAATGGAGCTAACTACACCTATTGGAAGAATAGAATGATGTACTTCATTCAAGCAAGTGACATGGGAGCATGGAATGCCGTAGAAGAAGGATACATTAAGCCTATCACTCATCCAAGGTTGTGGAGTGAAGGAGATACAAAAATATTCCAGCTCAACTCCAAAGCCATCCATATTATCTTTTGTGCTCTTGGACCAGATGAATACGGAAGTTTCATCATGTACAACCGCCAAGAAATATGGGATAAGCTTCAAGTCACACATGAAGGTACCGATGAGGTAAAGAAATCAAAAATTAGTATTCTAACGCATAGCTATGAAAATTTCAGGATGAAACTAAATGAAGACATCAAAGCTATGACGGATAGATTTTCAACGATTGTCAATGGTCTCAAATCATATGGGGAGATCATCTCAATGAAAGCTTGTGAGGAAGTTAGTCTACTCCCTCCCAAAATCATGGCAATCAAGAAACGGCAATCATCGAGTCTAAGGACCTATCGTCCTTAACTCTTGAAGAACTTATCGGTTCACTCCTCACTCATGAGATGATGCTTGAAGATGAGGTGGACCTTGATAAAGTTGAAGAGACACCAAAGGAGAAGGAGAAGAAGAAAAACATTGGAGTTGCTCTCAAATCCACAAAAGATGAGAGTGATTCTAATGATGATGATGATGACGAGGGAAATGGCATTGTTTGCCAAACGGTTCAAAAATGATGAGACCTTACCGAGGAAGAAATTCAAACGAAATGAAGGCCTCAAAGATGAACCAAAGAGAATGACCCGATCATTTGCTATGAATGCAAAAAACCAGGGCATGTCAAATATGATTGCCCACAATTGAAGAAGAAGGGTCAATCAAAGAATAAGCACAAGGCTCATGTGGCTACATGGAGCGATGAAGAAGGTTCAGATGAAGAAGAACAAGAAGTAGCAAACTTGTGCTTGATGGCATTCGGGGAAGATTCTAAGGTAACCTCTAACTCATCCGATTTTGATGATTTATCTTATGATGAGTTATTTGAGGAGTACAATGGGTTGGCTTCGGATTATGAGAAATTGTTTTTAAATATAAAATGATGTTTCAAAATTGAAAAATGAAAACAAACTCATATCCAAAACCAACAATGATCTTGAAAGTAAAATCAAAGATTTGCAAATCAAACTAGAAGAGTTTGAAAAGAAAAATTTAGATTTGCAAAATTTACTTTCAAAGATCAATGATGATCATCAAAAGAAAATTGATGATCTTAAAACTTCTTTTGATAAAGTTGGAACAAAACATTTTGAAAAAGGTGGAAATTCAAAATCCAACTTTGTTAGAAAAAGTTTTAGAAACTACAATCATAGAGGTCCCCAAAGAACCTCTAATGGAAAAATCATTAGAAGTATGTGGGTTCCTAAAGAACTCATTACTACTAAAGATAAAAATATCCTACACAAATGGATACCTAAGGGGACTAGGATTTGGAAACTAATGAATATGGACCCAAAAGAATTTGGTACCAAAAATCAAAATTAATCTATGTTTGTAGGGAAATGAGCATTGCTACAAGGCATGAGAAACAAATTCAAATTCATGGTACCTTGATAGTGGATGCTCAAGACACATGACCGGAGACAAAAGCCGGTTCATATAGCTTAACGTCAAAAATGGAGGAGAAGTGACTTTTGGAGACAATTCAAAAGGTCACATTGAAGGTATTGGTACAATAGGTAATACCTCTTCCATACAAATTAAAAATGTTTTATATGTGAATGGATTAAGCATAATCTATTGAGTATTAGTCAATTATGCGATAAGGGATTCAATGTCTTGTTTGAAATTAATGGTTGTAAAGTTATTGACATTGCATCTAATCGGATTATGCTTGTTGTTCATAGAATAGGAAACATTTACATGGGCATTTAGATTCTATTGATATGACTAATTTGTGCCTAGTTGCTAAGGATGAACATGATAGTTGGTTATGGCATAGGAGACTAGGACATGCTAGTATGAGTGTTTTGCAACGGTTAATTCAAGGTGATTTAGTTCGAGGGTTGCCTAAGCTTAAATTTGATAATGATAAAATCTATGATGCTTGTGCTAAAGGAAAACAAAAGCGCGTTTCTTTTAAATATTAATGATGTATCAACTAGTAGAGTATACAATTGATCCATTTAGATCTTTTTGGGCCAACTAGAACTACTAGCTTGGGAGGAAAACAATATGCATTTGTCTTGGTAGATGACTATTCTAGATACACTTGGGTTCTATTCTTAAGTACTAAAGATGAAGCATTAGAAAATTTCATCACATTTTCAAAAATAATCCAAAATGAAAAAGGTTACTCTATCACTAGTGTTAGAAGTGATCATGGAACTGAATTTGAAAATATTGGATTTATTGAGTTTTGTAATTCTAATGGTATTAGCCACAATTTTTCAGCACCTAGAACCCCTCAACAAAATGGAGTTGTTGAGAGGAAAAATCGAACTTTAGAAGAAATGGCTAGAACCATGCTTTGTGAAATAATTTGCCAAAATATTTTTTGGCGGAAGCCACAAATACCGCTTGTTAGTATAAATCGAGTAATGATTAGGCCAATTTTAAAGAAAACTCCATATGAAATTCTCAAAATAAAAAGCCTAACATTAGCTATTTTCATCCTTTTGGATGTAAATGTTTGTTTTAAACAACGGTAAAGAAAATCTTGGTAAATTTGATGCTAAAAGTGATGAAGGAATTTTTCTGGGTTATTCTTTAAATTCTAAAGCTTATCGTGTATTTAATAAAAGAACTTTAGTTGTAGAAGAGTCTATACATGTTGTTTTCGATGATAATCCCCTTCCGAGGAAGGATTCTTTTGTTAATGATGATGTAGGTATTGTACAAGCAAATGACGTTAGACATGACGTTGGAGAATCATTATCAAAGGAAGAAACAAAAGATGAGGAAACTCATGATCCCCTCGAGAATCCAACCATTGAGAAAGGGAAGTATCTTTTCCAAGAGAGTACAACTATGTCAAAGATGGTGAAATTATAGGTGATCCATCAAAAGGGGTAACTACTCGATCTTCTCTTAGAAATATCTGTAATTATGTTGCATTTTCATGCATAGAGCCTAAGAACATCAAAGAAGCATTAAAAGATGAACATTGGATTATGGCTATGCAAGAAGAATTAAATCAATTTGAGAGAAGTAAAGTATGGACATTAGTTGAAATGCCTAGTAATAAATCTACTGTAGGTACTAGATGGGTTTTTAGAAATAAACTTGATGAAGTGGTAATATAGTGAGGAACAAGGCTAGACTTGTTGCTCAAGGCTATACTCAAGAAGAAGGCATAGACTATGATGAACATACGCTCCCGTAGCTAGGATGGAAGCAATTAGAATGTTATTGGCATTTTCATGTTTCAATGAATTTAAATTATATCAAATGGATGTTAAAGTGCATTTTTAAATGGTTTTATAAAAGAAGAAGTGTACGTGGAACAACCTCCAGGTTTTGAAGATTCAAATTTTCCGGATCATGTTTTAAATTGACAAAGCTCTTATGGTTTAAAACAAGCTCCTAGAGCTTGGTATGAAAGATTGTCAAATTTTTTAATTGAAAAGATTTTTTAAAAGGAAAGGTTGAAACTACATTGTTTTTAAAGAGAAAAGGTAAAGATTTATTAGTAGTTCAATTTATGTTGATGATATAATATTTGGTTCTACTAATGATGTTCTTTGCCAAGAATTTTCTAAGCTAATGCAAAGTGAGTTTGAGATGAGCATGATGGGAGAGCTCTCATTTTTCTTGGGACTCCAAAATCAAGCAAAGAAAAGATGGCATCTTCATTAATCAAGCTAAGTACGTCAAAGATATGCTCAAGAAGTTTGGACTGGAAAATGGGAAACCTCATAACACTCCAATGAGCTCTTCAACAAAGCTTGACTTAGATGAAGGAGGTAAATGTGTAGATGTTAAATTATATAGGTCAATGATTGGCTCTTTGCTTTATCTAACTGCAAGTAGACCGGACATTTGTTAGTGTTTGCTTATGTGCTAGATTCAATCATGTCCTAAGGAATCACATTTACTAGCTGTTAAGAGAATCTTTAGATACCTTAAGGACACTCCTAGTTTAGGACTTTGGTATCCTAGAGACTCTAGCTTTAGCTTGCATGCCTTTTCTGATGCGGATTATGGAGGATGCAAATTAGATAGGAAAAGCACCTCCGGTACTTGTCAATTCCTTGGAAATATGTTGATTTCTTGGTTTTCAAAGAAACAAATTGTGTTGCATTATCTACCACTGAAGCGGAATACATTTCAGTCGGTAGTTGCTGTGCACAAGTTTTATGGATGAAAAACAACTTTTTGATTATGGAATTGAAGTAGGTACCATTCCTATCAAGTGTGACAATACTAGTGCTATTTGTCTCACTAAAAATCCCATCCAACACTCTAGAACTAAGCACATTGAAATAAGACATCACTTCATTAGAGACCATGTCACTAAGGAAGAAGTAGTTCTAGAATTTGTTGATACTTTGCACCAATTAGCGGATATCTTTACAAAACCCTTAGACAAGGAAAGATTTTGGACACTTAGGAGAGAATTAGGTTGACCAACCTATCTTCACTTAGTGTTTAAAATAATTTTAGCACTTTTAATAAATCTTGAAAAATGCTTATAATAATATTTTGATTGCATTCTTTCTATTAGTTAGGGGAGTTTGTGATTCTTAGTGAAAATTAATTTTATGCTCAAAAATTGATTAAAGATTAATTAATTGTTTGAACATAATTAATTTTTGATATATGAGTTGCCAATACCACTAGAAAAGATTAATTTAGCATTTGTGCTTAAAAATCGGATTTTAGCATTTTGGTACAGGGAATCGATCCCCCCTTGAGAGAACCGATTCCCCTTTGAAGGGGAACCGATTCCCCCCACAGGGGAATCGATACCCCTGGGGTTCTGCTAAATCGGGCAGAACAACCCCTAAATCTCAAAAACCCTCTTCTTCTCTCTTTGCCGTTTCTTCCCTCTAAATCTCTCAAATCTCCTTTCTTGCCTCAAATCAACAATATGAATTCGAATCAAACATCATCTTCTAAACCTGTTGGAATCATTAAAATCCCCTCAATCTTCATCTTTCAAGGTAATTTTTCTAAACTCTCTATTTCATTGTTTTTTGAACATAGGATTAGTTTTAATTAGTTCTAGGTTGAAATAGTGATCGGGCATTGATTATTTAGTAATTAGAAACTAGATGTTACAACTAATTTCATCAAAAACACAAGAATTTTTCAAATTTTTTAAATTTTCGAAATAAAAAAAATGTTATTTTTCAAATTATTGTGTTTTGATAAATTATGTTGTTGTTATGAAAAACTATACATATATTGTTTCTAAACCATATTTTTCAAAAGTTTTTCAAAAACTTTGCCCATTAGGATTGATTTAGAGAATCTTGAAATATTGAGGACTCATTTGAGTTTTGGGATTAATTGAATTGCATACATTTGTTTTAAAATTGCAGGTTATTCTATCTATTCCGATTTCCTTCACCATGTCAAATCCTAAACGTCCTAGGTCTTCATCTAGTCGTTCTAGTCGTCAAAATCCACCTTCAAATCCTCCTCCTATCCCTCAAAATCCTATTCCAAATCTTGATCCTAACTTGACTATCCAAAATTCTTGTTTCAATCAACCGGGTCCTAAAGATTATCGTTATTGGTTTTACCAATATTTTGACTCATATAAGATTAGGGAAGAACGTATCCCATCTCTTCAAACTATGGTTGATATTAACTTTAAATATCTCCCTATCTTGCACGAATGGAAATTTGATAAACTTTTCGAACTTGAACCCATTGTCTATCATCAACTTGTTCGTATCTTCTATTGTAATGCCGTTTGTATCAAAAATCGTGACAAAACCAAAACCATAGGAGTGCGTTCCTACCTCCTAGGTCAATATTTCCATCTTGATCCGGATTACATAACCAATGCCTTAGGTTTGGATAATGAAGGTTTATCAAACGAAAAACAAGTTTTAGGCTCACGATATAAACGGAATGATAGTGCAAGTGTTTTAGATCTCCATGAGCGTTTCCTTCATCTCATGATCACTTGGTGGTTTCGACCATCCGGGGGTCGATATTCAACTCTTAGAGCTTAGATCTTTGGTGGTTGCACTGTTTGAAACAATATAAAATAAACCTCTCCAGATTATCTTTGCTAAAATTGTTGAAACCGTTAACCTAGTGCCAAATAAGAAACTCTGTCTTCACTAGTTTACGGTTGTATTCTTAGTAATCTCTTTCTAAAGCTGAACTCCGAGTTGGTCTAGATGCCTCATTTCCTCTTAAGAAACAATCAATCTTCTTTCTTTAACAAGAGCGGGATGGGTCAAAAATAAGGAAACCGTGCATGGGTTCGATCTTCTACTCCGGGAGCTAGTTCTTCACAAGCTCCACCCGAAGCTGACGAAGATCCCGAGCTTGAGCAATTAATGCAAGATATCGATGAAGCCGAAGATGAGCCTGATCAGCCTGAAGAGCACCGAGGAGCAAGCACAACAAACGCTCAAATGCCTCCATATTTTCAATCCTTTATGGAGACATTCGATTTCCGATACGCTACCATGGACTCGCGCTTTCCTCTATAGAGTCTCATTTATCCACAATGGGAGCTCAACAATTAGAGATTCTTCGGGAGATGCGTGCAAACAATGATCAACCAACGCTCGTATCAATGAATCACACGAGATGGCCGTTATGCGAGCTCGTTTTCCTCCTACCGATCCGGATGTTTGATTATGTGTTTTTAGTTTTAAAACTCTGAACAAAAAGATATTGTTTCAACATTTTGGATATTTTGGATTGTTTGATTTTGTGGATTGTTGATTTTGGGATTTATGAATGGTGTGAACTTATATGTTTGGTGTTTTATTCATTTTTGCATCATTTAATCATCATTAGCATATGACCATTTTGCCATATCACATTATTTATGAATATTGATTTATGAAACTAATGGCTAACCTCTCTTTTGATTGTGATCTTAGCAGCTTAAGCTATAATTAATAAATCAATTGGCTAAATGATTTCAAAACCTTGTTTTACAATGTCTTTTTGATTTAACAAAAAGGGGGAGAAGATAGGTGTTAAAGTAAGGGGGAGTAATTTCAAAACTTGATTTCAAAATCTTAAAATTACTAAAATGTTTTGTTATATCAAAAAGGGGGGAATGTTGAAACATTTTGATATTTCGATATAACAAATTAAGTTAAATGGATTTTAAGATTTTCCAAATGATTTTCTAAGTATTCGATATAACTATTCGAATATCAAACATTACTCCAAATATTTCAAAATCATTTAATCCTTACTTAAGTGTAAAATTAAGTTTTAATCAAAACAATTTCAAAATAATTTTACAAAGTATTTCGAACCAATTCAAAGCCAAAAATTCCAGATTGCTCAGAGGGAACCGATTCCCCCCCATAGGAGGAACCGATTCCCCTGATGGTTTGGCCCGAGATTTCCAGAATGCTCGGAGGGAACCGATTCCCCCCTAAACAGTTTTGCTCCGAGAATTCCAGTATGCTCGGAGGGAACCGATTCCCCCAAGGGGTACCGTTCCCCTTGTACAACGTCGAAATATTTGAATTTTACACTTAGGGAACCGATTCCCTATGAGGGGAACCGATTCCCCCCACGCTCCAAGCTGTTTTATTAAATGTTTTCACACTAAAACGGCTATAATATCTTCTCTAATCATCCCCAACGTTCAGAAGTGATCCAAGGTGTATTTAAGCAAGCTTAGAAGCCATTGATCAATAACAAGAAACATCAAGCAACTAGAATCAAGAGAGAATCAAAGAGAAGGCATCAAACCTCAAGTTTGAGCATTTCAAGCCTATTTTCATTCAATATTCATTTTGCTTTCAAGAACACTTTTTGTGCTCAATTGTATTCATCTTTGAGTGTTCTTTTCTTTGTTCTAGAATTGTGCAAACATCTTACCTTGTGAGGTTTTCTTGTAAGTTTGCAAATTTGTAATCTTCTCTTTGAGAAAAGAGTGTTCTCAAGAGTTGGGGTATACTCTTGAGGGAATTGTAAGGTTATCTCTTTGGCCTCAAAAGAAAGAACAATTAGTGAATTTGTTGGAAAATCCTTAGTGTGGATAGCTAAGGTAGTGGACGTAGACTTTGTTTGAGAAAGTCGAACCACTGTAAATCGCTGTGCAATTACTTTCAATTTTTTGCAAAAGCTTCCACAAAATTTTTATTGCCAATTCACCCCCCTCTTGGCCAATTTCGTCATTCGATTAACTCAACACATAATATCAGTAATTCAACTCTTTCAATTAACAAGGCTATCACCCACAAAGATTCATGGATTTGGAGAGGAATATTGAATAACTACGAGAAAAAGGACACAATTGGAGAGTGCTTGAGTCAAATTCAAAATTGCAAGTGGGGAATGGTAGGTCAATTGCTTTTTGGAATGATGTTTGGGTTAATAACTACACTGAAAATTCAATTCCCAAGGATTTTTGCTCTTTCTACTAATAAATGGGACAATGTTGCTGATTTTGGTAGTTACGATAACAATGATTGGGTTTGGAATATTCATTTAAGGAGGAACTTATGTGACTGGGAACTGGACCAGTGGATTTCGTTAATGTCTTTGTTAGATAATATTTATTTGATTGAATCAGCTGATGACTTTCTGGCCTGGTCAGGGAAATGTGATGGTTTGTTCTCGGTTAAAGCATATAGGTTGTCTCTACCTTGCAGATATGGAGGGGATTTTCATTGGAGTAAATGGGTGTGGTCAGGACTAGTCCCTCCAAGAGTTCAAACATTTTATGGCAGTTATATCATCAAAAGTGGCAGTTAGAGTGGAACTGAAAAAAAGAGGGGTCCTTGGATAATGTTCAGTGTCCTTTATGTCTAAAGGAGGAAGAATCAATTCAACATCTGTTCATTTCTTGTCCAGTTGCAGTGGAACTGTGGAATGGATTTCTAAGGTTATGGGATTTATCATCAGTCTTGCCAAAAGATCCCCTATCTTTACTGTTTTCATGGTCTTATCTAATGGCATCGTCTTCTATTTGGAAGTTTATACCAGGGGTTGTTTTGGTCTATATGGAAGGCTAGGAACTCAGTGGTGTTCGAAAACTGGGAACTTGATTGTGCTTTACTGTTTTTCATTTCCCAGATTTAGACTAGCAAAATGGTTTCTAGCTAATTTTCCTCAAGTTAAAATTCTGCCTGACTTATTGGTAGGGGATCCAACGCTTGCAGACAGAAGTGATACTTATCCGATTAAGAAGAAGAAAGATCTATGCTGGTTGTCTCCTCCCCCTGATTTTTTTAAATTCAACGTGGATGGGGCAATAAATGTTGATGGCTTAAGAGGTGGAATTGGTGGAATTATGAAAGATTCAAATGGATTTATCCTGATCACTTTTTCTACTGTTGTGGGACCTGGTCCCCCATTATTTGCTGAGTTGAAAGCAATTAAAGAAGGAATTGATTTATTTCTTTGTTCTCAATGGGCGGGAAAGGTAGACTTGTCTAGAGAGTGACTGCTTAAGGCAGTGGAGTGGATTTCGAACCCGTCTTCAACCCCTGTGTTTCTTAGTCTGATGGTAGAAATTGGATCCGTAGTTATTGCCAAGGACATAATGGTTAAATGGATTCCTAGGAGTTGTAATTTGGAGGCAGATAAGCTAGTTAAGGAAGGGATAGGCTGATGGTTTTTTTTATTCCTGTTGTTATTGGATTTGTTTCTGTTTAATCAAGGAGGGTTATAGTGTAATGTGTATCTTATGTATTTCAGGGTTAGAGTGTAATGCGTATCTTATTTAATTCAAGGTTTGAGTGCATTTTGTATCTTATGTAATTCAGGTTAATTAATAAATTGAGGTCTCTTTTCCTCTCCAATTAGTTGTCTCTTCATAAGAGCCAACTTTGAGGGAGGTTGTTATTGAGACCTCCTATTCCTATAAAAAAAATATAGGAACACTTCCAGTTAATTTCTAATGTCAAGGAGCATTTCTCACAGATAGAATACATGTTCCTCCAACTATTTTCATGAAGTATCCGTTTCCCACATTCATTTTTGAGAAATACCTCTAATGATCCTCCAAATAAATGGAAAAATGAAGAAAAATTTAACCATACCATGCCAGACAAATATTTGTATCCTACACACCCAAATCCAGGTAATAGGACAGAATAACCTTGAAAGAAAGAAAGGGATTACCTTGTCCAAGGATCAAAATTGTTGGCAGCCGTAGGTATCATATCTTGGATCTTTCGCTAGTAAAAATTGCTTGAACAACTAGAATATAAAACAAGAAAATATTAACTGTCTCTCCTAAATGTTAGGAGAAAAAAAATCTCTAAAGTTAAATTTATCACACATTATAAAGGGCAATGGGATACATCAATCACACACACATATATCAGTAATAAAGTGGTTGATGAATTAATTTCTGAAGATCTCTGAAGTCTGAACTATCACAAGCAAGAATAAAAAGTGTAAGGACTGCACTATAAAGCCAAACCATGTTAGAGAATATGAAGAATTCTCCAAATATAGATAAATGTAGATCGTACAAATGAAAAAATAAATAAATTAATAAAATCAGAGGGTTTTATAGAACTTGAGATTCATATTGGCAGATTCCTCACTCTCTCTTTTATCAGTTTCATTAACAGCAGAGCTAATGTCCACTTCGTGCATGGAATGATGCCCGTCTGATATCCAAACAGTTTGTCTTCCTACGAAATTTGAAAAAGTATCGTTTAGTGGCATAGATGTGATATAAAGATCAACCAAAAAACATTTCCACTATAAAGCTTAAGGGTCAAATGTCTAACATTAACAAAATTTCCACAGGACTTTTACTGACCCTTTTTTTTTTGTTTCTTTTCATTAATATGAGTTGTTTATCATAGCACTTTACTTCAAGGTTCAATCCCAATCTCCCATTAGCATTTAGCAAAGAACAAGGGAAAGGCTCCACCATCTTTCATTTCCTAGGTATCCAGAATAGTCCCGAGGCAATAATTCTGAGTCACGTGTCTTTGTAGATCATGCAAGCATTTCTAACAAATGAAGCCTTTGGAAAGATAAAAATGAAGTAGAGATGCTTACTTGAGGAAACATCGGGAAAAACAACCATTTATGCACCTTCATAACATGTGGCAATCGCCTCATGTAGCAGGTGACGTTTGATCCAAGAGCTGTGTCTATTACAGCAAGACAAACAATCTCCAGCAGTATCCAAGACCAAGAACCTCGTTGAGACAATGGTTGAATAGAAATTGCCTTCAAGGACTTAGATGGCACTTTCATAGATGTCAAGCCCTTAACCTCCTGCTCAAATGGTACAAACCACACTTCTGATTCGGCCCATTCTTGTCTGTGTTACCAGACCTGACTTCACTGTAAATCAAAGATGACAATCAAAGAAAAAAAGGAACCAACCTCAATGTCAACTTTCTCAGTACTTAAAATTATATAATTGTAACGAAAAGGAACAAAAATTAGCCAGTACTTAGAATGTGGAAGATTTGTAATCTTTGGAGTAACCTACTATATATCCAATGAACGGTGTAGCATCACACCTACTAGTGACTTCAATCAAACAAAAGTGAACATAAACGAGAGCTCTTAGTGAGCATACTTTATACTAATAATAAATAAATAAATAAATAATGACCATCTCGAAACTCATTAAGATTTAAACAAATGACAGCATCTTGCTTGCAAGGGTCACCAACTCCTTGGTTAAATAGATAAAAAAGTAAATTGTCAGGTAAAATAATAAAAACATATTTCAGGAGATATAGTATGAGCCATGCAAAGGACACCTGAGTAAAGCCAATTAAGTGAAGTTACACTGTCATGCCAAATTTTATCTCCAGAAGATTCAAGACAAATAGAACTTATTACTCGAATAATAAGGTCCCATTAAATCCCCAATCAATTAACAAATATTTATTTTGTTATTATTTTTTATAAAATAGATAAAATTTATCAGAAATATTATTATTTCTATGATTTTGTTATTATTGGACGTTTTATCGGTTTTGTTAACATATCTTGTAAAGCGCTACTAGTTTTGTTATTTTTTGTATCGATTTTGTTATTATTGGACACTTTATAGAAAATATTAAAAAATATTAATGTTTTAGGTAGAAATAATAATGTTTTAAGTATTTTTTATCGAGTTTGTTAAAATAATAATAATAAAACCGATAGCATCTTTTTGAGCCTTATTGAGTCTTATATTAAGGTTGTCGTATTGTAGAAGATCTCGTGTTCATCGCTTGGTACTAGTAGCGGTTTAGAAAATCGGGTCGGATTTAATTTTTTATTGGTTATATATAATTAATTATTTAATGGAATATACACAAATTTTTATGAGATTGTTTTTAAATTTTAATTTTGCTTCCATTTATAACGTTAATATACTTAATTATAATAATTAATTTTATTCTTTTAAATATATATTAACATTAGGAGTTCAATTTAAATTTAAATAATCCTATAAAATCACCTTTAAATATCTACTTATATATTATCATATCATATTTATTTAGATTTTTATTAATAATATAATACATCAATAAACACTAATTAAATTAAAGTCCATCAAAAATTTTATTTAATCTCTATTATAAAAATGTTTTAATCTATGCATCATATCTAGAAGTTGATTTAAATTTCTCTAAATATATTTGTTTTTCATGTTTGAAAAGTTAATAAATTTTTAAAATATTAAAATTATTGTTAGATAACTTGAATATTTTAGTTCAGATTTTTTCATCTCTTTCAATTTTAAATTCGAATAAATTAGTCCCCTTAAAATATATTTTCTAAATTTCTACATAAATTTTAAATAATTAAAATATAAATATAAAATTAATTTACATTATAACTTCGAATTTATTATTTTTACTTGCAGTAATATTATAAATAAAAATTAAAAAAACATTTAAATAATTAAAATTTTTAATTACAAATTCAAGTAAAATATTTAAAATTTCATCAAAAAAATTTAAAAATATATTATAAGTTATGTAGTTTTTTATTTTATTTATTTTAAAAACTATCCAATAACAATTAAGCAGTGTCTTATAGTAACAATAAAGTATAAAAAATATTATAATTTTTTTTATTTATTTACATTCAAATTGTGCATTTATTTATTTTTATTCATTTTTATTTTGACAGAAACTTAAAAGGTGTTTACATCATAAATGTATTTGTGATATTATTAGGATACTTGAAAAGTGACTTTAATTAATATAATTTATTATTTTTTTAATAAAGTCAATGTTCACATAATACATAAATAAGTAATAAGCATAAATAGAACATATTTAACTAAAAGATACAGCTAAAAATATCGAAAGAGTTGTGGCCACCTCATTTTCCGCCTGATGGTCTTGTGGGTTCAGGAAAATACTGTTATTTGTGCTCCAGATGCTACAGGGTAACAGGTTGTTTATGTTCTTAACCATAAGTAAATTTTCTGTAATTGTAGCAAGTTTAGTAGATGCCATACTTGTTCCTTGCACGGGATTGCACATCCGTAAGGTTCTTGTCTTGAGCTTGTCTTAAAGTTCTACCAGCAATGCATGTTAAATAGGACACTCCTCCATATATCCGGACAAGTCACACCTCCGCTGTCATTTGTTCAGAGTTCCTCGAAGTTTCTAAAATTCCATATCCTCCGACTAACTACAGCCCCTTGACTTGAACACTGACAAAGTACCGTAATCTATCTGACAACCAGATTTATTCGTCTTGACAACCTACGAATAATCATCATCATAGGCATGATACTAACACTAATGGCCTGCATATAAGTCTAGGACTCTCCCTCTCTAGGAGCCTCTCTCACGGTTCATCTCCCTTTCAACTCATCTACTCTTACCTCCTATACAAACCACCGTATGCAGTTCTCCACCCAAACCAGAAGGGATGAGCCACCAAACACCACCACAACCCCATTTCTCAATAAATGGTATCCGGAAAAAAAAGAGATAACGAGAAAATATAGTTTCTATCATAAAGGGATGTCATTGGATGATAAAAACCGAAGTTAACACATCCTAAGATCAAAATAATAATTCGCCTTCACTAAACTAAATTTCAAGCAAATATCCCAAAATTTGTCATTATAAGAAAATAGAAGCAACTTTTCCCTCAAACATGTTCATTTAAAAATAAAAACACACTATGCGTGGCAATCAGTAGAAGTATTAATTGTACCCAGGCAAATTCTTGTTTAACCTACACCTTCACAAGAGGCCGCACATGTATATACCGCGATCGTTGCCCAGTCAAGAGAATCCGCATCATTCTTCACATCAAAGTAATAAAGCAACTGAGGCAATATCTGAACAACAAATATGCAAAGAACTTGTATCAGAAATTCTTTGTCAAGCGAACATAGAGATCTTGAGGAGGATTTAACATTCTAAAATCAACCCAAAAAATCCACAAAGGATTATCGTGGAGTATTGATATTTTTTCCACTTGTTTTTGAACTTGATGATAGATAATTCCCGGTAAGATTACCAAGTACCTGAAATTCGAAACATAGGCGACCACCACAATAGTTGCATAAGGGAATATCAGCATTGGAAGGTCGACCACCTAAGATGGGCCACAGTGGTTTAGAACCAGCACTCCTACAGTACCTGTTATTGTTAAAACAAACATGAGAATTAAGTAATTAAAAAGAACAAAGTAACGACTTTAAAGAAAAAGCATAAAATCACCATTGGAATAACTCCACCCTAGCAACAAGTGGATATGTAGTTCTAAATGCAATATCTTCATCTTTTCATTTTTTTTCTTTGGATAAACTTTTTCTATGGATTAAGTAAAACGTTTTGAATTAACTTTGGTAACCTGTTGCTTCAACAGGATGATGTAAAGAAGGCTTCATATCTATATATAAGCAAAATTTGTTGCCTCCTTTCACGATGGCATCCTAGTTACAAGAGTAAGATGCAACTGTCAGGTACACAATTTTTTTTGACGTAATTGGAGGAAATTTGGAAGTAATATCTAGGGCTGTAAACGAGCCGAGTCGAGCTCAAGTATTGCTGAGCTCGTCTCGACTCGAAAACTCTGAAATGAAACTCGACTCGGCTCGAAAACTCGTGAACCTAAAATTTTCAAGCTCAACTCGAACTCGAAGCCATGAATTGAAGCTTGAAAAATCTAAAACTTAACCCGATTAAAGCTCAAACTCAAATGTGAACCTGAATCTTAAACACATTTATACTATATTTTAAAAAAATCAATACATAAATGTTAATATTATTAATAATTGAATTTTTTTTTTTTAAAATTCAATATATTATTTTTTCGAGTTGCTTGCGAGCCTTTCGAGTCAAGTATGAAGTAGCTCGTTTCGGCTCATTAAGAACTCGAGTCGAACTTGAGCTCGAGTCGAGTCCATTTGAATCGAGTATTTACCGAACTTTGATCGAGTCGATCTCGAGTAGCTCGGGATCTGACTCGTCTCATTTACAGTCCTAGTCATATCTCCATAGTCATGGGTCTTACACAATTGTTGGACACAGATGCGTCAACAAAATGAAAAGTCGGAGCAACAAAAATCCCATCCTCCATATTAAGGTAATGTAACCTGTGCAGGGTGCTTTATGGTTTATACAAACTAAGCATGGTAGAGTCGCAACTCATGAGCAATTGCTGGAGTTGGGTTATCTTCTCCTAAACCTACTGTGCACTTTAAGTCAACAAAGGTGTTCAAGTTCTCACCTCAAAACTTGTTCAGGAGCTTTGGCTATCCGCTGTTGGAAGGAAGCCCAACTCTTTCTGTCACCATCTCCCTATGCAACAAAGGAAACAAGCATTAAGAGACTTGAAACAAGAATTCACAGACATGCCACTGCACCAGCCAACAATACAGGGGTCAATACCTCGAAATTATCCATAAGTGACTTCATTGTGTCATCATCCCTGTTCCTGGGTATCAATGAATTATTGGCATGTCCCTCGTCTCCAGACATCTCTGTATCATATTCACTTCGTTTCGTTTTGAATCTCATACTCCGTCCACAAACTCTGCTCGCAACTGTTTAAAATGCAAAATTTTAGTCAGAGAGAATCCATAAAGATCCTCAACTAAAATTGTTTAGACTATGCAGTTCAAATACTGTTCATTCTTAAAAGTTATCCCAGAAGAAAATGGCCTTGACCATTAAACATGCCAATTGCCAATTTATTTGCATAGCTGATTCTGATCAATATCCCAGGGTAATATCAATAATACTTACCTAGTTGGGCTTTAATTTGTGCAATTCCAC